TTACCTTTAATTCGAGAATCCCTGAGACACGAAAATTTTAAAGAGCTACGGCAAAGTTTGAATGTTATGGAAAGCTCCTTAAGAGCTCTTAAATCTAGCAGAAGGGCACGATCATGGATGGAGACAAGCACTGACATACTCACATATCTAGGATATTTATCGAGTGAGGATGGTAATTTTGTTTTGAAATTAATATTGTAGTTACGATGGTAAATAGGTTTCTCCTATTTAGTATTTCATTAACCTAATCATATCTGATAAGGTAGAAATTTTATTGACCAACAGTCAAATTTGTATGTACGAAACTCGTACAAATATTTTCGTGCATGGTTTCTGAAAAAAATGGATCGCCTCTCGCTGCTGGGGTATGAGAAAATATCTAGTAAGGATGGTAATTTTGTTTCGTACATACAAATTTGACTGTTGGTCAATAAAATTTCTACCTTATCAGATATGATTAAGTTAATGAAATACTTAATAGGAGAAACCTATTTACCATCGTAACTAGGATATTTATCTTTTGGAATAATTATACTATTTATAGCTTCAACAAAATAGGTTTTTTTAATTGGATAAAACGGCTAATACCGAACAACTTATGTATTAAACTTTTTTGCTGTTATCACTGCGCCCACAGTGCATTATTCGCCTGTAGGGACAGCGCCTATCGAAAATCACAACACACCACTACAGAATACAATTGCTGACAAAGAAGTAATAATTGTACTAAAGCGAGTTAAAATTTCGAACTTAGGAGACTAAATTCATTCTAACTGGGCGAGAGTACGGCATTTTCTTGTAATACGTTTTCCTTTCCTTAGCTAAACTAACTTTCCTTTTTCCTCCCCTTCTTTTCAAGGAAAACATTCCTTGGACCTTTGGCTACCCCAAGGAATGGTCCGGAAGCGAAGGGCAGTTGTCTCCGAGCCCTTTTTTAAGTAGGAACTTTTTAATGTTAAGTTTACGAACTTCATGTAAAGTTGAGTAACTCGATTAAAATAAATATGATGAATATCAGGCTACATAAATTCAGAAGAAGACTTATTTTGTTTGCAATATGTCGTGTGAGTCTGTGTATTACGTGGGCAATATATGTGAATAAATGGGTTAATTTTTCTGGCGAATTTTCTTTTTATTTTTTTCGATCTTTTTAAGTTTGAGGGTTTAAAATTGTTTTAAGTTAAATTTGGGGAGAAAATTTTTTAGGATGTTTTTTTCAATAATTATTGGTATTTGATTGAGAAAATTTCAATTTTTTTAAAAAAAATTCTTTCGTTTTCATAAACGTTGGGTACTTCAAGTACGTAAATTAACTTTAGATTCGTAATCAGTGACTCCCAGAAGCCCTTAATATGGATTGTCTGTATTGGAAATGTACTTATATTTTGCTTCAAGCTACACCCCTGTATATTCAATGCTGCCCTCTATTTCTTTTTCACATTTGTAATTTAGTAGTTCGAAGATACTCGAACAGTTAACATTACCATTTTTCAATAAACGATCATTTTGAATGCTAATTACATTAGCCCTTTTCTTTTACCTTTAGCTTAACGTTTCAATAGGTTATGGACCCAGACCCTTAACTCCGCGAACGGGAATAAAAAGAAACTCGTAACAAAATAGTGCTTGAAGTAATCTTGGTTAAAATCGAAGTGACGCGCGTGTAGTTGAGAACGTACAAATTGGCTTCCTCATATTCGGTGCGCATTGAACAACTATCAAAAGACAATTTCGATACGTGGAAACTTCAAGTCAGGGCACTGCTTGAAAAAAATGACGCGTGGAAATTTGTTAATGATGAGAAGACAAAACCAGAAATTGCTGACGGAGAAGGAGCAGCTGCTTCGATAATCGCAAGGAACGCTTGGGACATTGCTGACAGAAAGGCACATTTGGACCTCGTATTGGCAATTCATCCATCTGAACTTAAACAGATCAAAGGCTGTGAGACCTCTAATTCTGTTTGGTTAAAACTTCACTCTATCTATCAGTGAAAAGGACCGGCTCGAAAAGCGGCCCTTCTGAAAAAACTGACCCTGCACAAGATGGTGGAAGGTGGCGACATCCGTGATCACATCCGAGAATTCTTTGATGCAGTCGATAAACTGCAAGAAATGGATGTAATCATCAATCAAGATCAACTAACCATAATGTTATTATACAGTTTACCGTATAGTTTCGAAAACTTTCGATGCGCCATCGAAACAAGAGACACTTTACCAAGTGCTGAGGATCTGAAAATCAAGATTATAAAAGAAAGCGATGCAAGAAATTCCAAGCAGCAAGAAAACTCAGAAGCCATGCTAGCCAACAGCGCCAAAGGTGGTCTCTTTAAAAAATTCAACAAAAAAGAAAACAAACCGGAACCTGGAAAGCAGACGAAAAACTATTTTCCATTTAAGTGTCATAAGTGTCGGAAGATTGGACACAAATCTATTGACTGTCGATCGGGATTGAACAAGTCAACTGAGAGAAGTGCCAATATAGAAGAAATGGGATTTCTTTCGACAATTATTGAAAAATCCGCGTTAAAAACCGAACGTGATCCGTTTGAAACTAAATGGTGCCTGGACAGTGGTTGCACATCACACATGTGCAACGACCAAGAAAAGTTTATTTCTCATGAAAAGTGTGAAAGTGATAAATTAAGCCTAGCGAGTAAAGCAACAACTAAAATTGAATCGAAAGGTACCATGAATGTTTTAATCAGTGATTGTAATCAAACTAAATCTCTGAATCTTAAAAATACCTTGTACGTCCCTGACCTGAGAACCCACTTAATGTCAGTCGGAAAAATCTGTGATAATGGATACTCAGTGATGTTCAAAAAGAATTCAGCCGTAATTTTTGACGCGAGAGGAAGTGAAAAGTTATCAGTGAAACGAATTGACGGTTTATATTACCTGAAAGAAAAAACTGAAACGGTAAACCTTGTGTCGGAAAGTGATCATCCAAATAAACTGGAACTGTGGCATCGAAGACTCGGTCATCTCAACGAAAAAGACGTAAAAAGTGTTATGAAAACTCAGGGAATAGAATGTCAAAAAAACGAAACTTTAAAAGTGTGTGAAACCTGCGTTTTAGGGAAATTAGTGCAAACGCCATTTCCGAAAGAGTCATCGCGAAAAACAAAACCACTCGAATTAGTGCATTCGGATTTGTGCGGGCCTATGCGGAAGGAATCCTTAAGTGGAGCAAAATATTTCGTGACATTTACAGACGACGCAACTCGGTGGTGTGTAGTTAAGTTTTTGAAAAAGAAAAGTGATTTGACGGATGCATTTAAAAGCTACAAAGTGATGGTAGAGAAGCAGACTGGATTCAAAGTGAAATGTTTACAGTCGGACAATGGGAAGGAATACAAAAACACGGAATTGGACAATTATCTCGAAAATTGTGGAATTGTCAGAAGACTCACTGTACCTCATACTCCCGAACAAAACGTAGTATCAGAGAGAAAGAACCGCACACTGGTAGAGATGGCAAGGTGTTGGCTGATAAGTTCGAATCTTTCAGCGTGTTTTTGGGCCGAAGCCGTGTCGACGGCGAATCATTTGAGAAATAAATCACCTTCAAGAAGTTTAAACGGCGAGATACCTTTTCAAGAATGGACCGGAATCAGTCCTAACCTATCATACCTGAAAACATTTGGCAGTAAAGGATTTTCGCTCAATAAATTACCTGGAAAAGGGAAGTTCGAACTTCGCGCTCGTGAGTGTTTATTTTTAGGGTACTCAAATGAAACTAAAGGTTACAGAGTCTGGTTAATCAACGAAAAGAAAGTCGAACTAACAAGAGATGTCAAATTCATTGATGATTTTTTACCAAAAAGGGAATTCGAGGACTTCATCTCATTAGAAACTTTGGAGCAGACAAAAGAAAAACAAGAAACCGAGAACTGGATCGAAATCAACGTAACGACCAATAACAACGGAACTCATGCAGAAACTGTTCGTGAAGAAGAATAAATATCGAAAGAAGAAGAAGATTTTCACGGATTCGAATATGATCAAGGAATCAACGAAAGAAGATTGCCTGGTCGACCCAAAATCGTGAAATCAGGAAATCCTGGAAGACCAAGAAAAATTTACAAGACAGCTGCAAATTCAGCATTCGAAAAATATTCGGAATCAGCCAATTTAGCAGAAATTTCAGTAAAAGAAGCGCTGATTGGAGCCGAGGCTGAAGATTGGAAACGTGCGATTCGAGAAGAGTTCCTGGCTCTTATCATAAACAAAACTTGGGAATTGGTCGATCGTCCCAATGATAGAAACATAATTGGTAGCCGATTAATACTTCGAAATAAATTGAATTCAGAGGGAATTTTGGACAAAAGAAAAGCACGAGTGGTAGCCAAAGGATACTCTCAACAACCTGGACTTGACTTCCAGGAAACATTTGCTCCAGTTGTTCGTCTGGAATCCATCAGGCTCTTGATGGCTCTTGCCGTCGAAAATAATCTACAAATTCAACAGTTGGATGTTACCACTGCATTTCTAAATGGAGATATTCAAGAACAAATCTTCATGGAAATTCCTGAACTTTTTGAAGAAATGCTCCCAGAAATATCATCGATGGAGGAAATGAAGAATCATTCGAAAAATGCATCTGAGATGTTGAAGATCTTACAACAAGGGAATAAAGTTTGTTTGATGAGGAAGGCGATTTATGGCCTGAAGCAAGCTGGCAGGCAGTGATATCTGAAATTGGAGAAAAATCTTAGAATGCTTGGGCTAAAACCACTCAATGCTGACCCCTGTATCTACATTGCAAAAAATGGAAATGATATATTAATAGCAGCGATTTACGTCGACGATATATTGTTATTCTCAAACAACAGTGACTGGCTTTTAAGATTCAAAAAGGATTTCAGACAGAAGTTTGCCATCAAGGATTTAGGTACTGCAAAACACTGCCTGGGAATTGAATTCCATCAAGAGAGCAATTGTTTGAAAATTTCACAAACTGGATACATTTAGGAACTTTTAAAAAAATACAGAATGGAGGACTGCAAATCAACATCATCACCCTTGGATCCTGGAACAAAGTTAAAGAAACTTGACGAGTCATTGAAACAAGAAAAAAAATATCCTTTCAGAGAGCTCATAGGAAGTCTCATGTATCTAGCTGTGGCTACGCGATCAGATTTAGTGTATGCAGTGAATCATCTTAATCAATTTAATAATTCACACGGAACGGAACATTGGTTGGCAGCCAAAAGAATCCATCGATATCTTCGTGGGACTTCAGATTTGGGATTGAAGTACCAAAAAACTTCAAAAGGTTTGGAAGGATTTGTCGACGCTGATTGGGGTGGGTGTTTGGATGACCGAAGATCGTATACTGGATTCGTCTTCGTGCTCGCTGGTGGTGCCGTCAGTTGGCAAGCTAAAAAGCAATGAACTGTGGCTTTATCCAGTACGGAAGCGGAATACATGGGATTGACAGAGGCCGCCAAGGAGGCTGCACATCTCCAGGGACTCCTCAATGAAATAGGAATCAGACGTCAGGGAGTTGTTTCAATTTTTAATGACAATTTGGGTGCACAAAAACTGGCTCAAAATCCCGTTCTCCATTCAAGAATAAGCACATTGACATACGTCATCATTTTGTCAGAGAAGCTTTGCAACATGGTTGGATCACGCTAGATTTTATTTCATCGGCAGAAATGATGGCAGATGTGTTCACCAGACCTAGGGGTCTATTGTTCAAGGAGGTATTGCAATATAATTTCCAAACATAACAGAAATTTTCTACGAACTATTATGTTTTTTTGCTGTTTTACACGTATATCGTGAGAGACGGTTTGTTGATCTTATATACCTTTAAAACTATTGTTAAAGTACTTTAAAAATGTCTTCTTATGGGTAATCAGGTAGTGGTTCTGAAGTGGAACTCAAGCCAAGTCCAATTCAGTACCATTCCAGTACCACTCTTTCGGTAGGGCAGTGTTAAAAAAAATTATGGAAATTGACGATAAGAAGTAATGACAAAAAAAATGAATTTTTTTCTAAAGCTCTTTATTTAATTAATACTTTAGACAATACGAAAATGTGAAGAGTATATTTTACTACAAGTGTTAATATATTTTGTTTAATAAATCATACTAACAATAGCACAGATCGTTACGTTTTTGACCAAATAATAATTTCAGTAAAAAAAAAAATGATATTAAAATTTACCGAATTATAATTTTTAACAATCCTCAAAATTGTTCTAATTTTTATTATAAAATCATCAGAAACATGTACATTTTGTTTAATGAACGTTTAGAAAATTTTTATTTAAACAAATATAGTTTCTTAAAAAAAGTATTATTCCAAAAAAGATTAATACTTTTTTCAATTTGTTTTTTAATCAAAATTCAAAAACTTACACATTGGACATACTTAAATTATATAAATATTTTAATTGAGTTTAAATATTTACATACTATTTTTTATATAACCTAACTCGAATTTTATTGCAATGTATTGTTGGTATTTTATTGCAATTGAGAAAATATTTACAAGAGAAAAAGTTTCTTTGTTGAATAAAAAAATAAGCGCTTCCATTTGAAAGAATTGTAGAAATACATTAATTTTTCGATTATTTTTTGTTCGATATTTCAAACAAAGTTTTTGTTTAATATAATGGACATTATTTTTTTTACAAATTGTCTAACGAAAGAAATGTACTTCTTTGTGCCCATTAAAGATTGATTTACTAATATTCACGATAGGAAGTAAATTACGAAGACTTTCAAGGACAAAAAATCATATTTTTCATAGAACTCGCATTCCAAAACAGGTCATTATTGAGTTATTTGGCAAATAAACGGCTAGCATAAAATTACATTCGTTTTATACTTTAAAAAAAAGGAAAATTTTTAATAAACGTAAAAAATTACACATAAAGTCTTGTAAAAGAACTACTTTCTTAGTACATAATTCAACAAAACGAATATATCGTTTCATATACAAAGAAAATAAAAATTACCAAAGTGGAAAAAAAATAAAAAAAAAATGAAAGAAAACAATTACTAAAACTATTGCAATTGTTTTATGTCAATACCCAATTTTTGTACCGCTGCAACTATTTGCGATTTCTTTAATTCTAATTTTTGTTCCTTTAATTTAAGAATTCTTTTCTGTACTTCTAATTCCGTTTGACGAATCATCATCTCCTCCTTGTGTCTCCTCTCATTGTTTTTCTCAATCATTGTGAATTGTTGTTTCATATCTTCGAGAAATTGTTCCAATAATGATTTTACAGCACTTATTTGATTTTCTGTATCCTCTGACGTTTTTTGACCAGTTGAGGTAGAATCGGAAACACTGTTTGTCGATTTTCCTGATTGTCCTGTATTACCTGCTTCTGCAGCTTTAGCTAACATTGCTATTTTAGCTGATCCACTGGGAGGTGGAAAATCACTTTCATCAAGATACATGTGCCTCTTTTTTTCATTAAATATCTCATCTAAAGCTCGTCTATGTTCCCAATGTCCGTAATGCCTCATTCTACCGGGTTTCTTTAGTCTCTCACGAAATACCAAATTATTGTATTTACGTTCTAAAACACGCCATTTATTCTCACATTTTTGTGCGCTAAAATAAAATCCATATTTCTGCATCTCAAATGATATCATTTCAAACATTTCGCGTAAACTACGAATTTTTGTCGTTTGACCAACAGATTGTCGATATTTCTTGTATTGTGAAATAAGACAAGATGTTGCTTCTCTTGTCCATAGATTCAAAGCACCTACATCATTAGTGGATGGTATTCTTTTTGTATGATCGTAATCGAGGAATCCATTTTCGGCAACATGATCGTAAGCATCTTGTTCGAGTTTTATTTCCAAGTCGGGGACAATTTCGACTAAAAAAAATAATTTTGTTTAGAAATTCATAATCTATGAAAAGGAGATTTTAATTTTATTTTTAATAATACATTTTAATTTAATTAATCGACAGAATTTATTTCAAATTAGGCATGCTAAACATCGTCGGAGCTGAACATTACTCTTCTTTTGAAAAGTTACTCAAAAATAATTTTTTTTTAAATCCAACATTTTTTTCAATTTTTTAATGGTTTTGCTATTTATTGTTGTTTTACAAATTTTTGATTAGGAACCTATAATATTGTACCTAATTTTAAATGTCATTCAAATTAATTGTTTTAAACTTAAAAATTGTATCATTTCTTATTTCAAACCTAAACATCTTCTATTATATTAAGTTAAAAAATTTTCAATAGCGACACCGACCTTGAAAAATTTATTTTCACTTATTTTTAAATAAATCAAAATCCTTTGTCATATGCTTTTAGAAAATCTTACATATTTTACCGTTCTGGCATGTTTTTACAACTTTAACTCTAAAAAAAAATAATAAGTAAAATGTGTAAATCTTAAATTTACTTACATAAATCAGAGAAGTTTAAGATGATCTATTTACTTGATTTTTAAACATAATATTTTTATATAAAAATGAATTATAATTTTTTTGACTTTTTTTGAGCCAACTTTCACAGTTTGCATACGCTAGGGAAGAATTTAAACATGAATTGTTTTAAATAATTTAAATTGTATAACAATATACGATTCCAATAAGCCCAAGAACGTTGAAAAATATTAATTTTTGACAGAGAAGTAAAAAAAAATAGTAAAAACATTGAAAATTGGGTTTTTCTTAGATATCTAATTGAAAAATTAACATATTTTTTTTATCAAGGTGTCATTTCTTTCAGAATTTTATTAACTTTTATAAAATAAAAAGGGAAAAATTTTAGTATTAATATTTTTGAAGATTTAAACCGTTTTATAGTCATCGAAAAAGCAGAGGTCGCACAATTTCTGATGGTAGTGTATCTAAAATATTACTCTTCTTTTGAAAAGTTACTCAAAAACAATTTTTTTTTAAATCCAAAATTTTTTTTAAATTTTTAATCAATTTTTTAATGTTTTTTTTCACTATTTATTGTTGTTTTGCAAATTTTTGGTCAGTAACCTGTAATATTGTACCGAATTTTAAATGTCATTCAAATCAATTGCTTTCAACTTAAAAATTGTATCATTTATTTCAATTTTTAGTGTAGTTAAAAATTGTAAAAATTCGATTATAGAGGTTCCAGCGGGACGGATCTATAATAATTGAATATTTAAAAAATTTTATTTAAATGTGCGATTCCAAGTGAGATTTTGACTTTTTCGGAGTAGGTTAACCGATTGCAATGAAACTTTGGAATTTTTTTATATATAATAAGACTAATCTTTAACGTAAATTTCAGCCTAAAATATTTGTTAGTTTACGAGATTTGCAATAATAACAAAAAATTTAAAACTGCTATATCTTCCGTTCTAATAAACGGATTGAGGTCTACTTTTTTTTAAAATGTCAAGGAAAATGAGAGGAATAAATCTCTTTCAGAACATTTTTTTATAATTTTACAACTAAAAAAATTATTAAATAATAATTGAATAACTTTCGCGCGATTAACTAAAATTCAATCACTTAAACGCTAAAATGATCTTACCTGTGTTTTCTTTAATGTTCCAAAGGATTTTTATTGTAAATGTAAGTTTAACTTAAGAAATTTTATTAATTTATTAGTATAAACAATTGAGATTTCTGCTAGTTGACGTGCAGACGACATTGCGCACGCAGCATTCTCACATAGCCAACTGACGTGATTCGTGGACTAAATTGGCTATGTGAGAATGCTGCGTGCGCAATGTCGTCTGCACGTCAACTAGCAGAAATCTCAATTGTTTATACTAATAAATTAATAAAATTTCTTAAGTTAAACTTACATTTACAATAAAAATCCTTTGGAACATTAAAGAAAACACAGGTAAGATCATTTTAGCGTTTAAGTGATTGAATTTTAGTTAGTCGCGCGAAAGTTATTCAATTATTATTTAATAATTTTTTTAGTTGTAAAATTATAAAAAAATGTTCTGAAAGAGATTTATTCCTCTCATTTTCCTTGACATTTTAAAAAAAAGTAGACCTCAATCCGTTTATTAGAACGGAAGATATAGCAGTTTTAAATTTTTTGTTATTATTGCAAATCTCGTAAACTAACAAATATTTTAGGCTGAAATTTACGTTAAAGATTAGTCTTATTATATATAAAAAAATTCCAAAGTTTCATTGCAATCGGTTAACCTACTCCGAAAAAGTCAAAATCTCACTTGGAATCGCACAAATATTAAATACAATTTTTTTAAATAATCAAATTTTGAAATAACTTTGTTAAAATTATTAATAATAATTAACAGGAAGAATTTTAAACACAAATTTTTAAAATTTATTAAAAATTCAGAAGAGTACAAATTTTTACAATTAATCAAATTTCAAGAAATTTTAAAGTGAAAATTTTGTAAATTTAAATTTCTCAACTTGTTTACAAAAATTCTAGGCAATAATTGAATTTTAGAGAAATTTTAATTGAAAAATGTTTTAAATAATTTATAATTATTAATTGAGGGGCTGATAGTAAAAATGGTTTAAAATAACATTGGGAGCAAAAGTGGGATAAGTGACTTGGGAGCAAAAACGGGTTAAAATGATTCGTGTAATTTATTGATAAATTCATTATATTATCGATTAAAAAATATTAATTATAATAAAATATGCATTTTTTCCTATTGTTAATATTTTTTAATCGATAATATAATGAATTTATCAATAAATTAAACGAATCATTTTAACCCGTTTTTGCTCCCAAGTCACTTATCCCACTTTTGCTCCCAATGTTATTTTAAACCATTTTTACTATCAGCCCCTCAATTATTAATTGTTTAATGTTCGAGTAGAATATATTTGAATGGGCTTCATAATAAAAACGATAACATTTGGACAAAAATGGATTTTAATAAAATTTTCTCCAACGTTTCGAAATCACACTGATTTCTTCTTCAGGGAGTCTAATAATACAAAAAATTAAATTAAAAACAAAAATACAAAGAAATTAAATTAATATGAGACGAATTAATGGGTGTATAGGTGTTTTTTGGATGTTCATCTTTTTCTATTATTTTATTGACGATTGTGAGAATGACTGATTGCTAATTTTAGTTTCATCGTTTTATTTAGTAAATTGTTTTTATGTTTATTTTATTTACTTTTCTTATTTTCATGTTTATATCTATAATTTATTTTTATTTATTGTATTCTTACTATTTTATTTATTATTTCGTATATTGCTTTTTATTTTTATTTTATTGTTGTGTTTTATTTTATTTATTTTCTATATTGATTTTTTGTTTTTGTTATTGATTCGTCTCATATTAATTTAATTTAATTTCTTTGTGTTTTTGTTTTTAATTTAATTTTATAATTTTTTTGTATTCTTAGACTCCCTGAAGAGGAAATCAGTGTGATTTCGAAACGTTGGAGAAAATTTTATTAAAATCCATTTGTCCGAATTTTATTGTTTTTATTATGAAAACCCATTTAAATAATTGTAATTTTCGAAAAATGTCTTTAAAATTATTAAGAATATAATTAATTTTGCAGAGTTTTTAGATTCAAATTTTCAAAATAATTGAATTTTGGAAGAACTACAGCTTGTTCTTAAAAAAAGTAATAAATATATTTTTTTTAATTTAATAAATTAATTAATTTTAAATTTTATTTCAAAAACTTTTTATTTCTATTAAATTAATTTGATTTTATAACTTGATGCGACCACAATTAACAACACAAAATATTCTTTATTTTTAAAAAATGTAATTATTAAATATTGTAGATGTTATTTGATTGAAAAAAAATTTATTTGACTCAAATAATCGGTTACTTGACTATTATCAAATAAATATTTATTTGTATCAATTAATTATTCTTTGAGTCAATTAAATCGTATTTATTTCAAACACAGAAGTTATTGGTTCAATTAAAATTTTTTAATTCAAATAAAAATTATTTGATTCAAATAAATATTTATTTGATAATAGTCAAGTAACCAATTATTTGAAACAAATAAATTTTTTTTCAGTGTTATTATATTGGTATTGTAGTCTGAAGAAATGTTTTTATTATCGAACAAATTTTATTTTTTTTTTATATTGTTAATCAAAAATAAGAATGTTCACAACGTGACTTTGTAACCTTAAAATTTTGCACATTTTTGAAAACGTTATTTAAAATTATTTTGTAAAATAAATCGAAAAAGTCGTACAATCCGAGGCCTTTAAACTAAATAATTCAACACACATATAATATAAAACTCACAAAATAGTAACATAAAAATATTGTTAAACTGTTAAATTTCTAACATTATTCTTAAACTTAAAAAAAAATTAACGAATTAAATGTCGTTAGGCAATCGGTAAAATTGAAATAGGTTAGGAAAGTATCAATCAATAAAATATAAATTAATTTATAGAAATAGAAATCACGTAACTTTCGTAAAATGCAATTAAAATATTATATAATAGCATTGTGAAAAAATCAATTAACTTTAACATATATTTTAAAAGTTAAGATTTGTTTAAAACAGATACATACAGCATCATACAAAATGATAATAAATGAACCTCACCTGCTTGCAGAACACCAATTATTTGACCCTGACTGTTAATTGCCTCCATTTTTTAGTATTTTACTTTTTATTCAATTCGCTGAAAAGTATAATTTGCCAAAAAGTTTTATTTAAAGTACAATCTAAACTTTGTGAGAAAAACATTCAGATTATATTTATAACAGGTTCCGTACGCGTCTGTACGCGTCTGAAATGAATAGACCACCATTGGGAATTCGAGCGCATGTTAGCAGGGTTGTGTACTGTTAATTTGAAGGTGCTTTTACAACACAACTTCCCGAAACTTACACTCTTGCCTAAAGGTGCTTTTATACCTCAAATTTCGATCAGGTGAACATTATTTCTGGGCCGTGAAAATGACTTTTAAGGGCGCACTTACACCTTTTGGCTGCCTGCCTGCCTGCAGAAGTTGTCATGGCAACGTGAAGGAGTAACAGAGAGAGAAAAATTCAAATTTGAATTTACTATCTCTGTTACTCCTTCACGTTGCCATGACAACTCCTGCAGGCAGGCAGCCAAAAGGTGTGAGTGCGCCCTTAAAAGTCATTTTCACGGCGGGTATTTTTGAATTGTTTTAAACAAAAAATGTTTTTTTTAAGAAATATAATATTAAATAATTGTTTTAATATGTAAGAACACTTTAAAATAGTGATAGAAAGATGATTTGATTGAAAAATTTAGCTAATTTTGCTTTAAAACATTTTCTGCTACAAGAAAGTGTAAAATGACGATGTTTGTGAAATGGTTTGTACAGTGCTTCTTCCTTGTGAGCAAACAAAACTTTGAGAGACACTCACAAGAAAGAAGCACTGTACAAACCATTTCACAAACATCGTCATTTTACACTTTCTTGTAGCAGAAAATGTTTTAAAGCAAAATTAGCTCCAGTATTATGGAGCGGTCACACCTCGCCTGCAGGAGCAGTTGCCAATGGGTACCGTGTAAGAGTAAGAGAGATGGAAAATCTTTTATCTCTCTTACTCTTACATGGTTGCCATGGGCAACTGCTCCTGCAGCCGAGGTGTGATCCAGTCAATCAAAAAATGCTTCAGAGCACTACGGAGCATCTGCCGAAAACGCCCATTTTGATCAAGCAATCGGCTGGATTAAATTTTCACGGTTTTATGTATCACAGAATTTGATTGGCTTTGACAAATGATACATTTTCACCGTGAAAATTGAATTTTGTTAGAACCAATCAAACTCAGTGATTCTCCGTAAAAATTTAACACAGTAGCCGATTGCTTGCCCAAAATACTAGAGATATAAAAGCACCTTAAAGGCGTTTGCACACCTCACAAGTTTTCGATTTTGGTTAAATCAACAAAATATAAATGCATTGATATACAGTTAACCAAACATTTGGTTGCATAAACCAAACGTTTATTTAGCTCAATCAAATTTTTTCTTTGTTAAAAAAATTTATTAAAATAAACCAAACAGTTATTTAGATCAAATAAATATTTATTTGAATAAACAAATTTTGTTTAAAATAACCAAAAAATTGGGTAAATATAAAAAAATGGTACATTTGGTTCAAACATATCTTTTTTCTGAGTGCCCGACTTGTCAGTTGTGCTTAGGCCTTAAAACGCCGGCATAAAAGCGGAAAGCATGAGAACGAAAGAGATGAACATATCTCACTATCTCTTTCGTTCTCATACTTTCCGCTTAACCAATATACCGAAGGTATAAAAGCATCTTTAAGGTACGGTCACACGACTTTTGGAAAAACCATTCTTGTCTTTCTCTCTCCTAAGACAGAGGCATAAGATTGTTTCACTCTGCATTTTCTTACATTTCCCAAAGACGGAAAATGCAGAGTGAGACAAACTTATGCGTCTATCTTAGGAGAGAGATAGACAAGAATGGTTTTTCCAAAAGTCGTGTGACCGTACCCATAAAATACAGCATAATGACGTCAGAACGTTAAATATAATAAATAAAATAGTGGAACGTGAAACGTGCCCATGAGGCCGTGTCCGTTTTCCTTTTTTTTCGCAAGAAAAAACAAGGGCCGTTTCCGAATTGGGATTTTTGTCGCACTTTTGATAAAGTGTATACTCGGGAAGTATGCAGTGTCCTTGTTTTTCCGTACGAAAAAAAGGACACTGCATACTTCCCAAGTATACACTTTATCAAAAGTGCGACAAACATCCCAATTCGGAAACGGCTATAGAAACCTGCATGCACGAGTCGTGCAGGCTGTGATGTGACCGCTCCCTAAGACCGTAACCTTATGATCATATTGCAGAAAGGCTTTTAATTACACATTTAAGACGTTCTATTACATTTCAAACGTTCCACTTCTCATTTAGGTGTTCCTTATAATAATTCAACCCTGAATTAGTTTTGATCACGTGATTTGTCAGTGATTTTTAAGAACAAATTGACAACAAATCTCCAAATTATTTTAATTTAGTTAAAATTGTGTTTTTAATACTGTAAATTTATTTAAAAATGACAACTCAACGTGCATATCCACAAAGTAAAGAAGCTTTGTTAAAGTCTTACATGACAAGGCTTAAAGATGATGTGAAATCCATACTAGTCAATTACGAAGGTAAATCCTAACCTATTTTTTGCCTTTTTATTATTTCTTTAAAAAAAAAGCTCATTAAATTATTTCGTAAATAATATATTTTTGTAACAATATTTATTATTACATTTTATCAAATAATGTAAATGCCCACTGTACAAAAATTATTTAAATTTCTTATGTGCCTGATTGTACGAAATGTTTTTTCACTTGTTTTGTTTTTGACAATTGTCACCTGCTAAAACTTAATAATTCGTTGAAATTAAAATTAATAGAAATAAAGTATTAAATTAAATTTCTAAAATTTAGAAAATCGACTTTTTCTACTTATTTTACGAAATAAAAATTTAAAATTAATTTATTAAATTAAAAATAAAATTCTTATGACTTTTTTTTTAGTACAAATTGTAGCTCTTCGAAAATTTAAATCTTGAAAGTCTTTGCAAAATTAATTATTCTCAATAATTCCTCAATTTTTTTAAAATAAAATTATTTAAAAGATTTTTCCATTAAAAATTCTCTAAAATTCAATTGTTGACTACAATTTTTTGTAAACAAATTCATCAATTCGAATTTACAAAATTTTCAATTTAAAATCTTCTGAAATTTGATTAATTATAAAAATTTGTACTGCAGCTCTTCTGAAATTTAATTATTTTTAAATTAATTTTTTTTTAATTTCTTCTAAAATTCAATTATTTAAAATATTTTTTACAATATTTAATAAAAAATTTTTTTATATTGAATTCTTTAATGAATTGACTCAATTTAAATAATTTCTAGTGAATATTTTGCTAAATTAAAATAAGATTAAAATAAAAATTATGATAAATTAAAACTTTATAAGTAAACACCAAGAAACTCTATATAATTAAACACGTTTTTAAAAAAATTATACGCAAATAAATTTCACAAGAAAAAATTCTACTTTATGAAATAAAATGAAAAGTTTCATTAATGGCTTATAATTTTTTAATTTAATTTTTAACAACGCAATTAAATTTCATGCATATTAAACTATACACAGTTTAATTGAGATATTAAAAAATTCACAAACATGTAGGCAACTTCTCTATTTTGTAATTTTTGTTCTGATAAAAACTGACAAATTTACAAAATAGAGAAGTTGCCTACATGTTTGTGAATTTTTTAATCTCTCAATTAAACTGTGTATAGTTTAATTGCATACAATTTAATTGCGTAGAGTTAAAAATTAAATTAAAAAAAATTATGAACATGTAAGGAAACTTTTTATTTTATTTCATAACAATAAGTAGAGTTTTTTCTTGTGGAATTTATTTGTGTAAAAATTCCTGGTATTCGATATAAGTGCGTAGAATTAAAAATTTAATTAACGAAATGATAACCCCCCCCCCTCAAATTTAATAATTCCAATTTTCATATGAAATATTTGCAAATATTAAAAATAAATAATGTTTATCACTGTTTACAGAAATTGTAAAGCTTGCCAAAACAGATAATGAAACTCAATTGTCTCGAATGACACAATGCGAACAAGATACATTTGAAATGCATGTGAGAGCAGCAAATATTGTCCGCGCTGGTGAATCATTAATGAAATTAGTGTCGGACATAAAACAATATTTGATTCTTAACGATTTTCCATCAGTTAATGAAGCAATAACACAAAACAGTAAACTCTTTAGAACGAAACAACAAGAATGTGATCAAAAATTGGCATCTTTGAGAGATGACATGGCTGCTGACTTATATGATTTAGAAGAAGAATATTATACTTCTATATATAAATAAATATCTAGAAATGTAAGAAAACAATGAAATTTCTTCGTAACATACAAATTAATTTTCTTACTCAATTGTACAGTTTCTACTATTATAAGTATATAGAATAAGGTTTTGTTATATATAATCATTTTTCTAGGGAATCAGTATTTATCTTAAATATATTTCTACAAGAAAATGTTATTTCTTTCTGTTTCAGAAAAATTCCTATTTTTCTTTTGTCTAATATTATTTTATATTATTATCCTTTGATAAATACAAGACAATACCTATGTAAGGAAAAATATAAAAAAAATTTCCTTTATTAAAATTTTCCGGCAGTACTCAAGAACAGTTTGGTAATTATAATCTAAATGGTAAATTATCAAGATCGGCTTACACGATTAAAATTATAAATAAAGCTAAAGATTTAATTCCACCACCTTCAGAAAATGAAATTATTATGCAAATTTCTAGACATTTTAAAGAAGATATACAAACAGCTTTTATTGTTAGAGGTATTAAAGATGTAAATAATTTATTAGATTTATTAAAAAAAATTTGATCAGACTGGTCCAGTTCATTCACAAAGAATTTTTTTAAATCGTAACACTGAAAATTTTCAAAAAAAATAATTCAAGAAATTACTTTAATAATAACCAACGAGGCTATTAAAATAAACAAAACAATTATCAAAGAAATCAAAATAAAAATAGAAATAATAATATGAATCCTAACGGAAATGCAAATCGAAATTATTATCAAGAAAAAAATAATCAAAATAAATATCAAGAAAATACTAAACAAGAAAATAAAAGGGTTAATAAACAAGAAAATTTTCATTCTGTGATAATCATTTCGAAGACAATAAATTTTCAAATAATAATTTTTGTCTAAATAATTATCGAAACTATAATAAAACGCGTTAAAATTAAAATGTGGAAGAGATGGAAAGTTCAAGATATCTACCACGCAATAATCGATACAGTAAATAATTCTAATCAAGAAAATTATAAACAACGTAAAATCAATACAACAAAAAAAAGTAAATTGGTTGAACAAAAAAAGATTGGTCATTACCTTCATCTAATTTGGAAAACTTGTAAACCTTAGGTTTGTTTACACAAAGTCTGTAGATACAAATCCGAGGTCAATGACTCTATTAAATAGAAAAGAATTTGTCAAATCTTTACCATCTAATTTACTCGAAGAATTAGAAGAACAAAAAGTAAATATTCATGATCATTTAGAAAAATTTACTACAATTCAATTCATATTAGAAAATATTAGCGTTAAAGCATTAATAGATAACGATAGTCAAGTAACTTGTATTTCAGAAAATTTTTATGAAGAAAATATCAATTGCGAAATAAATTTAAAAATATAATAGTGAAACAAAATCATAATTCTATTTCAAGACATAGAATTTCCGATGCTAAACAAGGTAAAACTAAGCGTTATATAATCGATAAAAATGTACTTTATTTTGTCGTAGAAAATAACAAAAAATTATTCTTAACAAAAAGTATAATTAACGATTTAATTGATAAAATTTATGGACACGTCGGTCCACAGCAAGTTTTTCGTATGTTAAATGAATATTTTTATTATCCATATTTTGCAAAAATAATAAGGCATAGAATATAAAATTGTGACTTATGTCAGAGAAATAAAGTTACTAATCAAACAAATTTTTCTAAAATAAGAAAATGAGCACCCAAAAAACCAGCTGAAATTTTTACAAATTGATTGATTTTTATGGCCCATTACTAACTTTTAAGAGAGGATTCAAAAATGTACTATCTACTATAGAATAGTAAATATGTAAAATAATATCCTATTAGAAAAATAACCACAAAGCGCTTTTAAATAAAATTTTTAATCATTATATTAAAGAATTCGGAAAACTTGAAAAAATTAAATTAAACTAAAATAAGTGGGGATACAACCGGTATTTTCATCAATTAGACACCCACAGGGAAATATTGTTGATATAATACATCGGGAGTTTTTATGATTTTTTAGAACTCTAACCAACGAAAAACATAGTTCTTGATAGGAATTGGATAAAAGTAATTGAAACTAGTTTAAATAAAACACACCATGAAACAACCGAGTTTACGCCAGTAGAATTACACCTCAATGGGAAACCTAAAAGAGCATGGTAAAATTGGTTTAATTTTCTACCAATTCCGAAAAGTACGGACTATGATAGAAAAATAGAGTTAGCCTATGATAACATTTGTAAAACAGAAAAAAGAAGAGCAGAAAAATTTTATATTTCGCATAAACTTACAGAATTTATAGTAGGAGATAAAGTTCTAATTAAATTATTAAACAGGTCGAATAAAGAACAAAAATCATTGCAAAATTCCTATACAAGATATGAAGGGGCGTATGAAATTAAAAAAGTAGTAATGCCAGGAACATATATTTTATGGAATTCGAATACTAAAGTAGAAAAAGGAATGTACCATAATCAGAATTTAAAAAAATACATTGAAATACAAGTGCAAAATAATAATTAAATTTTTTTTCAGTAAAAAGTTTTAATTGAGTGTAGAATTAAATTTTTGTATTTATTTTAAAATAAATTACCTACATTAATTAATAATAATTTAAAAATAAGTGAGGCCTATAAAATTGAAATATGAAATAAAATACATGCTTAGAATTATTTATTGTTATTTATTGATTATTAACCAATTATACAATGTTACATTGATGACGTCAGTTAAAATCTATTCTTTATTCTCTTCCAAATTTCCTAAAAAAAGAAGAAATTAAAATTGCAAATATACATAAATATCGATAATGTAGAAATTCTAAAATGGCGAATGTGAAATGGCTCGTGTAAAAACAAAATTTTTAACAATTTTTTTTGCTTTAAAAATTAGTTTACTATTTGTAGAATATGATCCTACATTACTTATCTATAATTAGATATATGAATGTCTATAGTAAACATAAGTTTAGCACTTCAGATGCTACCAACTGCAGTTAACTATGAACACGAGATCCCTCTATTCTTTCGGTTTCTTGTCAATATAATTTTATTAATTGTCATTAGCAAGCACCATAAGCAAGTGATAGTAAATCTTTGTTTTAATGCAATAGTTATTTTCGAATATATAACGTCTTCAAGGCAATAGTTAAAACACTACTTTTATGTATCGATAACTTTATACGCATTTTTCTCGAAACGTGTTATTTCGCGCGCCGTGCAATGTAACTCAGTTAATTTTTAACCGATTCTATTCAAACTTACCACAAATCTTCTTTATCTTACTGGCTATTGCATGACGAGCTCCTTTTTATAAAAAAATTTAACAATTGTTTTTGAACATTGTTTATAAAAAAATTAATTTTTTTTCAAAATGGTCCCAAATTTAAAAAAAAAATTTTTTTTTAGTTTTCTCTTCGTCATACAAAGCGTATTTGCGTATTTTAACGGTAAAAATTTTGATTTTTATTTATAGTTGAGATTTGTGACTTGTAGGCTGCACGGCGAAAAATCAAAAATGCAACTTTAAACGTCTGTAACGTTGCCATTTTGTAATATTTTTTTATAAAGTTTATATTGTGTTCTTTAAGGTATGCTTTATCTTAATTCAATAAACTTTACCAGTTTTTTAAAAAAATTCCTGAAATAACGTGCATTTACACGAGTTTCCCCCCTTAAGTTGCAAGTTTTATGGGCAAGTTGGAAATTTGTTTGATTCCAAAAGTTGGGTATTTTGATATATACATTACTGTTCATTGTATTAAAAATTAATGGAAAATTATTTTTAATTAAATCTAAGTAAACTACTATTTAATGAACGTTAAAAATAATAAATGATTTTTACCATAATTATTCTGAAGACCGACCACCTGAAGCAACCTGCATAGATTCATCATCATCATAATTTTCTTTTTTCATTTCTTTTTTCATCTTGTTTTATAAAAAGGAGAAATTATATTAATAATTTTCAAATTAAAAAAGCTTATAATCTTATAGTTAAAATTAATCCTAATCAAACTATTAAATTTTTCTGAATTCCTTCACATATATAGGTATAAATGGTAATGAAACTGCAGATATTATTGCTAAATTTGCTACTAATAGGGAATAAATATTTGAGTTTTTGTTAAAAAAAATAATAAAAATACTTTTTACCCAGTCATCTTCATCATTTGCTTCTATTACTGACGGCATTACATCAATCTGTTTTTTTATAAAAAAGAGAAATTATATTAATAGTTGAAAACTGACTTATGTATTGATAAAATGTTATATAAAATTGGAAACAATATTATCTTTATGCATGCTATATAATAAATAAAAGGTAATTGTAAAAATTAAAGAGAATTTTTATATTTATGGAAAATGACAAATTTTGCGTTTAAGTTTCCTATTATACTTACAATGGATGTATAATCGACAATGGAATTCCAGAACTTTTTTGAAAGCTTCAAAAGTCGCAGAGTAATCTGCAAAAATAAATAATAATTAAAAATAACAATATCCATTATTGAAACAAAATAAATAGAAAATTTAAGTACTTTGTTTATAGATGTAAGGATTTCATAATATTCATAGTTTTGTATTTGTTTATATAACTTCAATTTGAACAAAACTTCTCTAACATGTTTAATATGAGATTTTTCTGACAAATCATAATTATTTATTTGTGCATGTCGTTTTAAATGAATGATTATCAATGCAAGTGTATTTCGTTTGATTGTCGGTTGCCTCTTAATTAACTGCATAAGTTCTTTATTATCAGTTTCTAATTCTACAGCTTTTGCAAAGTAATACACTGATTTCGAAGAAATTAAAGTCTCCTTTATATTTCTAAAATTAAAAAAGTTAAAAAAATTAGAAATTAAAAAAATTAAAAAAATTCTAATTCGATTTTACCGGCAATGCGAAATCGATTAGATGTCATTTGCGTTCTATCAATGCGGCCTAACTTAATTACTAAAAGGTGTTAAATAATATATTAATTAAATTCACCTCAGAAAGTATGTGAGAGTTCCTGCAATTACTGATATTGAATATGATGATATATCAACATTAGTATTTTTAGTAATCAATGTATTTAACAAATCATTAATTTCTTCTACACCGACTTTTTTTGTAGTACAAAAATTCATTTGATGCATTCCTCTGTTTTCCAATTCTTGTATGCATTTTACCACTATTGAAGGTACAAAAGGTGAATGTTTAAATGCATAATCTTCGATTGAGTCCTAAATGAACAATTTTATATAAGTTTAAACAATATATGCGAATAGTACAAAAAAAATTTTCATTCATAGTTATTCAGTTAATAATTATTATAAAATACTTATTTTATTTATAATATTTATAATATTAAAGATTAATATTATCAATAATAATTTAATTTATTAGAATATTATTACATATTAAATGATAATAATGAAAATTATATGTTTACAGGCCTCGGATTATACGACTTTTTCCGACTTTTTTCAAAAATACTACTTTTATTGAGTTATTTTAATAAAATGCGACATTTTTTTTACATTTGAAAAAAATGTTAATAAAATACATTTTTTTAGTATAAAATGTAGATCTTCTTCAGATCTTCTTCAATTCAATTATTTAATAAATTTTGAACTAAAATGATTCTTCACTAAATTAATTATTTTTAATAATTTTAATAAAATACATTACAAATTCAATTATATCAAAATTATTTTTCAATTAAAATTTTTATGAAATTTAACAATTGTTTATAATTTAAAAAAAAATATTACAATAAAATTGAATTATTTTTTAAAAATTTCAATTCAAAATAAACTAAAATTCAATTATTATCAAAATTTCAATTCAAAATCAACTCAAATTCAATTATTACCAAAAATTTTAATTCAAAATCAATTAAAATTCAATTATTATCCAAAATTTCGATTCAAAATTAATTATTATCAAAATTTTCAATAAAAAATCAACTAAAATTAAATTATTATCCAAAATTTCAATTGAAATTCAATTATTTTAAAAAATTTCAATTCAAAATCAACTCAAATTCAATTATTACCAAAAATTTTCAATTTAAAATCAAATAAAATTCAATTATTTTCAAAAATCTCAATCCAAAATCAACTCAAATTCAATTATTACCAAAAATTTAAATTCAAAATCAATTAAAATTCAATTATTATCAAAATTTTCAATCAAAAATCGACTAAAATTAAATTATTATCCAAAATTTCAATTCAAAATCAAAGAAAATTCAATTATTTTCAAAATTTTAAATTCTAAATTTTTTAAAATTTAATTATTTTCAAAATTTTCTATTTCAAATCAAATAAAATTAAATTATTTTCAAAAATTTTTAATTTCAAATCAATAAAAATTCAATTATTTTTAAAAATTTTAATTTAAAATTAATTAAAATTCAATTATTATACAAAATTTCATTTGAAATTCAATTATTTTCCAAATATTCAATTTAAAATAAAAAAAAATTCAATTATTTTTAAAAATTTCAATTTAAAATCAATTAAAATTTAATTATTTTCCAAATTTTCAATTCAAAATCTTTTAAAATTTAATTTTTTTCCAAATTTTCAATTCAAAATCTTCCAAAATTTAATTATTTTCCAAATTTTCACTTTAAAATCAAATAAAATTCAATTATTTTAAAAAATTTCTATTAAAATTCAATTATTATACAAAATTTCAATTGAAATTCAATTATTTTCAAAAATTTAAATTTAAAAACATCTAAAATTTAATTATTTCTAAAATTTTCAATCGAAAATTTTTTTTTAGAAATTTAATAATTTCAATTATAACCCTAAGGAAATTCAATTATTTTTAACTATTTTAATAATATTCTTTGAAAATTCAACTATCTGAAACCATTTTTCAATTCAAAATGATTTTCAAATTATTGTATTTTGTCCGCATTTTCTAATAAATTTTTAGTGAAATCATCTAAAATTTTAATTAAAAATCGGACAAGTGCGAGTTACACTCGCACTGAAATCGAGGGTTCCGTACTCGAAGCGAACTTATTTGGTATAAAAACAAATGTTTAAAAAATATGTGTTGTATGACAACTAATATAAGTGATACAAAAAGGAACAATTTTGTAAAATTCAAGAAAATTGTTCCTCTTCGTATCACTTATATTAGTTGTCATACAACACATATTTTTTAAACATTTGTTTTTATACCAAATAAGTTCGCTTCGAGTACGGAACCCTCGATTTCAGTGCGAGTGTAACTCGCACTTGTCCGACTTTATTTTTTAAAAAATATTTTACTAAAAAAATATAAGATACATAATTTTATTTCAACTCGCAATATTTTTATTGTATTTACATTTTAAAAATATATTGAATATTAAATTTTATCTTTCTAAGTCAAAAAGAGATAAAACTTAAGATATTGATATAAGGCTAGTAGCTGCTTGTCAAGGAAAAATCGAAAGTTATCTAAAAAATAAAATTTGTTTATTAATTCCAGAAAAATCAACTCCAATCATCCTCGCTATATTTTTTTTGTAATCTACACGTAAAAATACGTCAAAATATATAAATTTGAATCACTGTAGAAAAACTTTTTTCGTTTTTTGCGGAAAAATACATTTTTTTCTGAAATTTATCATTTTTCTTCAAAAATTTGATAAAAATTGATCATCAACTCCAATCGCGCTTACATTTTTTCCCTGTATTTTTCACGCAAAAATTGAGTTTTACAGCAAGTATGAACAGTCTGGATTGAATATTGTGTGCGCTAGGGAGAATAAATCATTTTTTTCGAAATTTTTGATTTTTCCTTGACAACGCTATGTAAATTAATCCGAATCAAGTTCGCTATAATTTTCCTGTAATTTTCACGTAAAAATACGTAAGTGTGTCAAATTTGAGCTCTTTATGTCAAAAGATGTGGCCGCTAGGGGGGGGGGGGTACATACTCATTTTTAGGTATTTTTCGTAAAAATTCATGGTTTTTCCTTGACAACGCTATGATAATCAACTCCAATCATGCTCGCTATATTTTTTTTGTAATCTACACGTAAAAATACGTTAAAATATATAAATTTAACTTCCTTTAAATAAAATTTTGTTCGTTTTTGGTGGAAAAATACATTTTTTTCCTAAAATTGTCATTTTTTCTTGAAAAACTTGATAAAAAGTTAATCATCAACTCTAATCGTGACCGCTTTTTTTCCCCTGTATTTTTCCCGTAAAAATACATTTGTATACTAAATATGATCTGTCTGGCTTGAATATTGTGTGCGCTAGGGAGAATAAATTATTTTTTTCGAAATTTTTGATTTTTCCTTGACAACGCTATGTAAATTGATCCGAATCAAGTTCGCTATAATTTTCCTGTAATTTTCACGTAAAAATACGTAAGTGTGTCAAATTTGAGCTCTTTATGTCAAAAGATGTGGCCGCTAGGGGGGGGGGTACATAGTCATTTTTAGGCATTTTTCGTAAAAATTCATGGTTTTTCCTTGACAACGCTATGTTAATCAATTCCAATCAAGTTCGCTATAATTTTCCTGTAATCTACACGCGAAAATACATATGTGTACTAATTTTCAGCCCTCCAGATAAATTTATGTGGCCGCTAGGGGGGGGGGGGGTACACGATTTCAAAAAAACCGATATTAATAGGGTTCCGAACCGAGTACGGAACCCTAAAAATCACTTAAAGTTTCAATTAATTTCAAAAATCTCAATTTAAAATTTTTGAAAATTCAATTAAATTTAAAAAATGTTTTCCAAAAATTGTTTGATAAATTATTTTTAGTTCTGTAAAATTTAATAATTGTTTGAAAATTAACAATATCTTTTGAAATTTAATTATTTCTAAAAATTTCAACTTTACTTTTTATTTAAAAATCTGTAAAATATTTTTGTTAAAATAAAAAACAAATCCACTTTTTTTGGAATATAAATCGACTGAAACGACTTTTTGTATCTTTAAGTTGATTCGAGGCCTGTGTTTTTATAATTAATATTTAATAGGTATTCGTTGGCCCCTGGTACCTTAAAAATAAATTTTTTTCAAATTACTATCTTGTACGAAATTTCCTGGCGCATGTTTTTTCTCATCATAAATTTTTTGTATTTGTATACAATTTTTGAATGAATATACAACTTTAAAAAAAATTTCGTTGGTAAACGTTGTGTACTTCAGCTTCGTGAATTGAATTTTCGAATTTGGAATTTTAAAGAAACTTATTCCGAAATTTGGAAACACAATTATACAACTTTGGCAAAAATGAGAAAAAGAATTGTCAAAATTTGACACGTCATAAAAAAACACGTGAAATCAGAAAAGGCCAAATTCAAGTTAGGACAGAAGGACAGACCAAGCATTTTATTATTATATAATTACACAGACCTCCAAAATGGACTATTCTATTAAATATTCATGTTTAAAAATTACCAAATTATAGCTAGGTGCATCATCTCTCCTTAATTTTTTATGTATCTAAAAAATTTATTTTTATTATACAAAACTAATAAATAAATTTCACTTTTTAAAAGTAGTTTACATATTACTAGAAAATTTGAAATGATTGTTTAATAAATCTTACTTCTATCATGCCCAATCCATCATTTACTAGGGCGAAGATAGCCAAAGATAAAAGAAAAACATTTTTTGCAGAGGTCATTTTTTCAAAAATTGAAAACATCAAAATCCCAATAATATTATATATGATTGTGTTTTTATATAGTGCTACAATTATATAAATAAAAATAGCTTTTATTATTAGTATTTTCCCTTTTTGAAACAAAATCTATTTGTTTTTTAGAAAAACTGGTTTTTAACAATTCAAAAAAATAAATTTATAATTTACCTGATGTAATTTCAACTGTATATAACGTTAAACATCAAATTTGACTGCAGGCAATGAATAACAGTAAAGGCTATTTCTAAAGCTTAGCATAAAAAATATATTAAAGACTTATCAAAGTCATAATTTTTTATTTCCTATGTTTTTTGTCATTTTATTTAATAAAAGAATAATAAACATTTTATCTTTTAAAACATTAAAATATTCCAAGAACTAAAAGCAACTCAGTTCAAAATTTGCCTTACTTTAAAAATATTAATCATAACATTGTTGTAACGTCTTTTGAAAAATTCATTATTTTCTATCATTTAATTTTTATTTTATGTTTAAACCCATAAAAACAATATATTATCATCTGTTCACATTTATAGTTTCACAGATATGTTTTCTGTAAATTGTAAAATTTTATTTTTTTAGTCATAAAAATCAAAATTCTTTAAGATATATACTTACTAAAAAAACAAAATTTTATGAATTTTTCATGAATTTCAGATTCTTATTATTTTTTGCTATCTAATCAAACACTCCAGTAAAACTATAAAATATAAAACGTAGAAAATATATAGTAGACAGAATTTTCAGCCAAACAGTGGTTCCAAATAGACAAAAAGCTGGCCAAAATTCAACAAATGGCCGAATATATATTTAACAAAAAAAAAATTCGGCGCCATTTTTAAAATCAACCAATTAAAAATTATCCATAAAAATTGTGATTGGTTACTTTTAAAAATCGCGCCGAAATCTTTCTGTCAATTAAAAATTCTGTTAAATGCTTATTTGGTTAATTTAAAATTCTATAGTATGAAAAATCGGTTATATGAAAATTTTCTCAAATAATAATTCGAATAAATGAAAATTCATCTAAAAAAAAAAAATTCAACGCAATGAAATTTTAATCTAATAAAAATTCATTAAAATGGGTATTATATTAAATGAAAATCCGATCAAATAAAAATTCGAAGAATTAAAAATTCTGTGAAGTAAATTTTCGGTTGTATAAAAACGTTGTATTATAGAAAATCTATTTAATGAAAATTCATCAAAATAACAATTCAAACAAATGAAATTCGGCAGAATTCAGCCTAATGAAAATTACATCTAATGAAATTCTATTAAATGAAAATTCTAACAATTAATTTTTAGGACTTATTTATACACTTTAATATTTTATAAAAATTATTATAACGTCAAAATTGATAAAGAAATTAAAAAAATATCTAATTTCTCAATTTCCTTAAAATAAAAATATTTTAAATAATATCATAAAGTTTAAATGAAGAATTGGAAAATACGATAGAGAGACAAAAAAAATATGTTGTACGTAGCGATTTTTTTTTATTTACTCAGTATTTCATAACACACAGACGATACAACACTCAGTATTTCTAACTGGTAAGAATATTTAATAAGATATTATTATTCCAAGCTTCGAAATATTAACCATTATTGTAGATTAATATTATTTTTCTCAAAATCATTAATTTATTTAGATTGCGGTTCACCAGTTTTCGCGAAAAAAAAGACACAGTCAAGTCTCCTTGATACTGTACAATAATAATTTATACAAAAAATATCACTCCTTGATAATTAAGCAAGAAGATCGTAGAAGAGACAAAAGTAAAATAACTCAAAAATCCAATGTTTTCATTTTCTTACCAAAAAGAATTATAAAATTGATTTAATTTTGCAATTTGATTTTTTTTTTTTTGGAATTAAGAGTTCTTTTTTATAATTTTTTTCAGACTATTTTTTCGGAATGTTTCTCGCTTCACATTGCGTTATATTGAAAATTAATAAAAAAAAATAATATATATATATATCACAAGATTCTAACGCTGTGAGTCTGATTTACTGACTATCGAATAAAAAAAAAAACGAAAAAAAAATAGATATAAATTCGTTTCAACGAAAACAGTACATCACAATGACTAAGACCCGTCGAACCGATTATACAATGGAAATACATTTTTTTTAAACGATCCAATTACACACAAAAAAAAATCCAAACGAATATTCACACTCGTTGGTCCCGGTTCGGGATCTTTCAAATAAATTACAAATACGTTTATCGTATATTAATTCAATCACACTTTAAATACTAATACATGAATACATTTTTGTTTCGTCGGATTGATTTTACCCTTACTTCCGATCAAAAACCAGACGTAAAAATAAAAATACACACACATTTCCCCTTTTTAGAGGAAAGAATTAAAAAAAAAAAAATCTAGACTAAACAAAGCATATTCTCGACGTCGGAAATAACAAAAATAATAGCAATAATAATTTAATATTTACAAATTAGATTCACTTAAAATTAATCATACGCAACGAACTTTACAAGTTCATTTCTCTCATTTTTTTTTATTTTTGTCCAAATATATAATTCAAAGATAATAAATTTAACCGGTTTTGAAGTAATTAAAGAGCTGGGCTTTTATAACAAGCAATTATACAATTTAAATTCATTTTTTTTTTTTTTTTTTTTTGAAAAATAATACGAATGAATTTTTTAACATTTTTTTTCAATAACAATAATAGAAATTAAAACAAAATAATTTTTCTTTATTTTACTTTTTTATTTATTTTTTTTTATTTTATTTTAAATTTAAACTTTTTAATAGTTTAACTTGATTTTCTTATAAATTCAAAATTTCATTAATGCCCAGCTCCAACGATTTTTTTTTTTTTTTTTTTGTTCACCGTAAATCGGAGACACTTTGGCATAACGCACTTGGAATGAAATTCTCGCATTTACAATTATTACAATTTTTTTTCTTTTCTTTTCAAACTGGTCAAAAATGTTTTTGATATTATCGCATAATTGTGTATTTTTTAAATACTCTTATTTATATAATCTTACGCCCTACTTTGGCAAAAAATTTTACAAATCTAAACTTGAATTATTATTTTATATATGTTTCTGTTTTCTTCATTCTGAAATCACTTATTTATATTTAGAAAATTGTTTTAATTCGTCTTAAAAGAAAAGAAAGTTTCGCATAAAACTTGTTTTTGAGATTAATCTCAGAAAAAAAGTTTCTAAATTAAATCCGTTTGGTCCGAAAATTTGCCAAAAAAAAAGTTGATATGCGTTTTTTTATTTTGGAAATTAATTAGTGGCTTTTTCGTGTGATAATTCTATATATGGTAATAGTCTTAATTACTGGCAGTTTTTTTTTTTTAATCGCATTACGCAAAGAAAGATTTACGTGTTTTTTGCAATTTGAAAAAAAAACGAAATGCAGATTTGGAATGATATCGTCTTTCCTTAACTAATAAACTTTTGCGTAATATTATACGTCAAAGCCTCTAATTTTTAAAACGCATTTTTCAATTGAGTCCTCTGGAAAATTAAATTTAAGTAAATTAAAATTTTTCTTTCCTTTTTTTAATTTTGTTTAATTTTTACGGAATTCGTTAAAAATTTATTAAATTTATAAACCATATTTATTTTATAGAAAACAATAAATATGGTAAAAATTGATTTTTTTAAATGGAAAAAAATTATGAACATTATAAAGAAAATTTAATCGGAAAGTATTTTTGGAGAAAATAAAATTTTTCGTTTTATTTACTTTTAATTTTATTATTTTTATTTTGAATTTGTCTTTAATTTTCCAAAGAACTCGCGTTCTAGTCGTTGTTTATGATTTATGTGACTCTAAAAATTACTATTATATCGACATTTGTTTTATGTATATGCTTTGAAGGCATTAACTTAAAATGAAAATGTTGAGTGAGCAGAATTAAGGCTTTTCTATTTAGAAGAAATATTTTTTTTTTTCCTCAAACAAAATATCCTTAGAAAGCCATTTTTTTTAGTTCATGAAAGAAGAACTTGATTGGAATTGTCAGAATAACATATCTGCAGTTGTTTCAGAGCCCCAGGCTCCAGCATCTTGAGCTGGCTTGAGATAATCCTCTTCAGTAAGACTATCGGGTTGCGTTGTAGAAATCATCGAAGGAATTGTTGAAGCTGTCGCTCTAGTCACTCCTAATTCAAATCCTTCGGAATTTAAATCAACTTTGCTTGGTGTATATGTTGCAAGTCCTCCACCTCCTCCTCCCACGCTTCCTCCTGTGAAAAATAAATCACAAATTAGATAAATCGATTTTTAAATTCTGATTCAACGAAAGATGATTGGAAAACATTTTTTTTTATGACTGTATAATATTTTCGGCGAGGTCAATATTTTAAAATGTTTCACATTTACACAAATTTAATAGTATTTTTATAACAAAAATTATGGATTTACTCCACTCTTAATTTGTGGGAATTTTTACGGTTTCGAAATAATTGAGCTAGATTTTCTATGATGATTTATAAAATAAGATTTACATGAATTGCCATAAAAATAATTAATTAGAAATTTCATTTTAAAGTATTCTATTAGAAATAATTATTTTTTCGACGAATTTTCATTTTCCGAATTAAAATTTTAAAGATTTTGTATTTATTCGAATTTTTACATAACAAAATTTTTAACTACCGAATTTATGTTTTGCAGAAATGTACAAAAATTTTACAATCATTTTTTTTTACATGACTTTTTACTTAAAAGAATTTAATTTAATTCTTTAATTAATTTTAATTAAACAGAATTTTGAATTTTCATTGAATCGAAATTTAATTTATCAAAAAATTTTTAATGGCATAAATTCCAATTCACCAATTTTTAATTTGTCCGAATTTTTATTTGAACGAATTTTTAATTAATAGAATTTTTAAAACGCCCAAATTTTTATTTGTCCGAAATAACAAATAGCCGAACAAACAATTGACAGAAGTATTTTTATTTTTTACTCATTTAATTTACATGAATTTTTATTTAAGAGAATTTTAATTTAATCGGATTTTAATTTAAACAAAATTCTGATTCAATTAAATTTTATATGTAATTCGAATTTTTAAAAGACAGAAATTCCAATTCACCGAATTTTTATTTTTACGAATATTTAAGACGCCAAATTTTCATTTGTCCGAAATTATAAATGACCGAACATAAAATCAACAGAAAGATTTTGGCACAATTTTTAAAATTGACCAATTAGAAATTATCAAAAAAATCGTGATTGGTCAATTTTAAAAATTGCGCCAAAATATTTCTGTTGATTTTATGTTCGGTCATTTATAATTTCGGACAAATGAAAATTTGGCGTCTTAAATATTAGTACAAATTAAAATTTAAGTGAATTGGAATTTCTGTCATTGAAAAATTCGATTGCATGAGAATTCTGTTAAATTAAAATTTTCTTAAATAAAAACTAAATTAAATGATAATAAAATAAAAATTGTGTCAAACAAAAATTCGATAGCTAAAAATTTTTTTAAGCAAAAATTCGTATAAGAAGAAATTCTGTAAAATGCCAATTCGAAAATTGAAAATTTCTCTAAAAAATAATTATTTCTAATAAAATTGTTTAAAATGAAAATTCTAATTAATTATTTTTATGGTAAATTTATGCGCTACGTAAATCCTATTTATATTATACAATTTTTTTTGCGAACGAAGTTTAAAAAAAAGTGGGACTGATATTTCTACTTCAAGTAATCAAAAAATATGATTTCAAAAAAACCATATATGGTTTAGAACAGAAACTATAAAATTTTGTCAAAGATTTTGAGGCTTTATTTCGACATTAAAAAATTAAAATGCATAAGAAATTTTTTTCAACATTTTCTTTATGTCTCAAGAAATCGCTTTTTGTTTTTTGTCATACAAAAATTTTTAAAATAAATTAGTTACGTAAGATTTTAAAAAACCGATTTTTTTAGATTTTATTTTTTTTTAATAGCTATTTTCATCAAAATATCTCGATGTGTTACAAACATTGCGTCAAAATATTTTACTTTCGAAATATGTAAAATTGAAAATTTAAAATAATTACATAAGATTTAAAAAGGTTAATAATTTTCTTTTTTGATATTTCCATTGACAGTAAATGTTATAAATGAAACAGTGAATATTATTACAATATTATTAAAAAAAAATGTAAATTTTTGTGTAATAAAATTTTTATTTTATTTTTGTAATAAAATATTTGTTTTCCAATCGATAATGTGAATCAGAAACTTAAGTACAATTTTTATTTGGAAAATTTTCTTTCTATAACTGACAATGAAAACAGAGTTGGGGGGAATATTAATTTATTTCTCAGTGAAGAATTTTTCAAAACAATAATTCTTACCTACTTTTTTTAATATAATTTCAAATTTTTTTTGAATTTTCATTAACTGTTTAAAATTTTTCGAATTATTTATCATAATTTTCCTTTTACGTAATCATATCATTCTCTCTGTATTTTTATTTTAAAAAAATTTATTTAACTTTTTTAATTTCAGGAATTAAAAAAAAATTCAGATTTTGTAAAACCGAAAACAAAAGATAAAAATTAAAAAAATATGTCAAATACATAAAAATACATATTAACAGACAATTGAAGAAAAAATAATTATGTAAAATAAAGAATGACAAGAAATTGTTAATCATAAATATTATTTGCTGTTTTAAAGACAAAATTCGAATTTAAAAGCGATTTCACTATTATATAAATAGTTATCAACCTTTCTTTTTGAAGATTATTACCCAACTCTGAATTATCAAGGAAACGCACTATTCTATTTCTATAATATAATATTTTGCTATTGAAAAATAATTGTCAATAATTCTAAAGTGCATTTTATATTTGAAAAAAAATTTCTTCAAGTGCCGTCATAATTATTTAAAAGTTATAATTAAGGAGTGAGTTTGAAAACTAGTTAAAAAAAAAAAAATAGAAAATGTGAGAGTCCATAACAGCGAGAAACAAGCTTGTGACTAAAGTATGTACATAAAGCAAATGCAAAAAAATTCGAATAGCAATAGTTTTCTAGCTATAAAGAAATTTAGAAATCTTGCGAAGATTACAGAAAGTCGAAGTGTGACCAAGCAGTTTAGACCAATGATTCCTTTACAGGATCAAACTCAACGAAAGCTCGAGGTATTTTGGCACTTTTTAGAGAGCGATATTTTATAGAGACTTCTGAAAAAAAATTCAAAAAACAATAAAAAAAATATTAAATGTCATTCAATTTAAATTCAAGAATATTCATCGTGGCAAAAAAATAGGGACGTATGAATATTCTACACATTGAATTTGGAATTTTTGCAAACTAATGATTTATAAGCATGAATATTTTGTAATTTTAAACTATGGATAAAATTTATGGGCAAAGAAAAAAAAATTAAATTTTTTAGTGAAGTAATGAATTAAAAATATGAAAAATTTTGAAATTTTAAACTTTAGCCAAAATCTGATCAATTGTAGGCAAAATAAAAAATTAATTTTCTTAGAATTAATATTAAAAATTTTGTTTTATTTTCTTGTTAATAAATGAGTAATTCGATTAAAATGAAAAATTTTATTGTCCATGGAAAATAAATTGTGTATGGAACAAATTAATTATCTAAACAAATTAAAATTGTTTAATTAATTAAACATTTAAAAAATCAATTAAAGAAGAAAAAAAATTTAATTTTATATTTAAAAATGGATTAAGTCTTTTATTTTATTTAATTGAAAAGAAATTATGATAGAAAACGACGAAGAAGAATATTTTTGACAGGGCGCATGATTATCCCATAAAAATCATTAATTAGAATTTTTATTTTAAAGAATTTTATTAGATATAATTATTTTTTAGATGAATTTATATGTTTCGAATTAGCATTTGACAGAATTTCTTTTTATACGAATTTTTTATTCAACAAATTTTTTAAGCTACCGAATTTTTTTTTTTGGCAGAATTTTTATTTTATACTCATTTAATTTACATGACTTTTTATTTAAGACAATTTTAAATTAAACAAATTTTAATTTAACAGAATTCTCATTCAATTGAATTTTAGCTGATTCAAATTTTTAAATGACAAAAATTCCAATTCACCGAATTTTAATTTGTCCGAATTTTCATTCGTACGAATATTTAAGACGCCGAATTTTCATTTGTCCGAAATTACAAATGACCGAACATAAAATCAACAGAAAGATTTCGGCACAATTTTTAAAATTGACCAATCACGATTTTCGTGATCGGACAAATTAAAATAGGAATTTCGGTCATTTAAAAATATGAATCACAAAGATTTCGATTGAATGAGAATGCTGTTAAATTAAAATTCTTTTAAATAAAAAGTCATAGAAAATGAATGTAAAATAAAAAATCTACCAAACAAAAATTCCGTAGCTAAAAATATTATGTAAATATTCGTATAAAAAGAAATTCTATCAAATGTTAATTCGAAAAAAGAAAATTCGTCTAAAAAATAATTATATTATATTTTTTTGCGTTATTTTTTTTTATAATTTCTTGGCGCCCCAGAATTGATTGGCTGAGAATATTACTCTACTGGAAATGGCACGCAATTTAAATTTGAATTCTCCGATGATCGAAATTATAGTTTTCATTAATAATTCATAGAAAATTTCTTTCCGATGTCCTTATAAATTTTTTTTCCCAAAATTGTCTGATGTTGTTTTGCGTATCTGATCTTGTTGATTTTTTTTTGCAAATAAAATTTCGAAATACGATTAGCGAATGTCTTTGCCAATGCGAAACAAAAATTAAGGAAATTTCTTCTTCTTTACGAAATGGCATTTTTAAATATTTTTATTATTTTTGCGAGAAATTTTGCATTTTCAGTAGAATAGCGGAATTATTTAAACCTTCCCCTATCATCTCATCCAAGTTTCTTCCTAAAATATTAATTCTGTTAAGAAAAAATTTTTTTTTAAAATTATGATAGCAGAATTTAAGAGAAATGTTTGATAACATAATGAGAATAAACTTGAAATTGTAACTTGCCTAGTAGTGAAGGTAAACTGGTGGATGGCCTAGCGTTGTTGCTCGCAAACTGTTCACCGGAACCGGAAGTTTCACCATCTACACTGGACCCATCGCCCTCAAGCATTGAGGCTTCACTAGGATATTCAAAGGTCCGAGTAGCCTCGTCATTAAATTGAATACGATGCTGAAATAGAAAAAAAAATCATTAATAATACAGAAATTCTCCAATAACTATGTAATCAAGAAATAAGTGGAACAGGGGGAGTACAGTAGGTCAAATTCCCCACAAAAAAAGCAACCATTACAAATAGAATTTATTACACTCAAAATTTATATCCCTCAAAAGAAAATCTCTTCTAAATGTATCCAATTTCTGAGTCTAGAAATTTTTTTATTAATTTTAAAATTTGCGCCGAAAGTTTATTAGAAATATAGTTAAATGAATTTTCGGTTTAGTAAAAATCAAAAATTGTAAAAAATTGCGAATAGAAGAATTGTATTCTCTGTGCAATAGATTATGAATAAGCGAGAATATACGATTAAAAATGGGAGTGAGAGAGGAAACAACTGTACGGTATGTAACCCCGAATAACAGTAACTGGTCACACTCGATGATTTTTTGGCTATGCTACGTCATCTCACACACAATATTCACTTCGCACAAACTAAAGAGGAAGTTCACTTATTTCGCATATATATGCGATATATTTACCACTTTTTAACAAGAGAACAATAAAAAAAGAACAATCTTTTATTATATCTATTTATTTTGAAATCTTCGGTTTTTCTCTCAATTTTGTTCTGTGAGGATAAACATTTTCAAGGAAAGGACAACTAACAACCAATTACATAATTTTTTTTGAAAATTCTTCTCAACTTGAAAATAATGAGCAAATCACTGTTATTAAGTGGACAATTACATTTGGTGTAAAAGATCAATTTTTATTTTTTTAGAAATTTAAATTCTTTTAAATAAAAAAATGAGATAAATAAAAACTCGATAACACTTTTTGTGTAAAACAAAAAAAAAAATATTTTTGGCTGAAAATAATTATAAGGGTATCATTTTGTTTCTTTTTAGCTCATAAAAATAAAAACCGTTAAAATATAAATGATTGTTTAGTTAGATTATAGTTTTCTGAAAGACAATAATAATAATTAGTCTAATAATATAACAGTACCAACAATTATTTCAGGTAGGGGTTGACTACACTCGTTCATTCACTGAAAAATTATCTAGCATTCTTTTTTTTTGTTGTCCATTGTTCACTTAATGTTGGTAATTTTAGACAAAAAAAAAACACTGTGCTTCAAATGTTAAGAGCCAATAATCGAGTCACCAAGTTCCACATTCTTTATGATCTCCCAATGTTGAGGCCATGTTCATAAATTGTGAGGCAAGGAGAGACAGAAATGAGAATAACCAGAAAAACTTGAAGTGTCCAGTTTGATCAAAGGGCAATAATCTTTTCTAACACTAGAAACAACGTAAGATTCTCACTTTAACATAATTTTATCACAAATTTTGAAAACATTAAACTATTTTAAAAAAACTTAAAAAACTTTTTTTTATCAAATTTTTAATTTAATAATACTACCCGAATAAATCAATTCTAGAATATCCGCTACAATTTCCAAATATTTAATAAAATTTATGAAAACCGAATAAATAAAATTTATTTACTAATTTTATAATAAATAAAAATTTGTGAATTGCATAATTAAAAAAAATTTACGTCACACAATTTCCCGACTGATTTTAAATTTCGCGCCAAAATCTTTCTGTCAATTGTTTGTGGGGTATTTACAATTTCAAGTTCTTTCTGATTAAAGGATAGTTGAAATTTTTGCAATTATCGGAATAAGAATCCTTTTTATAATTTTTATTCCCTGATTTTATTATTTTTCATAATAGGCTTTGTTATAATTTTGGTTCTTCCTAATTAATAGAACTGAAATATATGAAGTTATCTGAATAATAAGAATCCTTTTTATAATTTTTATTATATACCAATTTTCATTCGTCCGAAATTACAAATGACCGAACAAAAGATCAACAGAAAGATTTCGGCGTTATTTTTAAAATTGACCAATCACGATTTTCTTGATAGTTTCTAATTGGTAAATTTTAAAAATTGCGCCGAAATCTTTCTATAGGTTGTTTATTCGGTCATTTGTAATTTCGAACAAATTAAAATTCGGCGTCTTTAAAATTATATAATTTAAAATTTGTACTTATAAAATTCAGACAAATTAAAATTCAGTGAATTGGAATTTATGTCATTCAAAAATTCGAATCACATAAAATTCTATTGAATGAGAATTCTGTTAAATTAAAATTCTTTTAAATAAAAAGTCCCAGATAGCACGTAAGCTTGCAGCAACCTTGCGGCAAGCTTGCCGCGCAATATTGACAAACCTTGCATGGCAAGTTTGCCGCAAGCTTCAAATGTCCCACCTAACCCAAGCTTGCCGAAAGATTGCAGTGTAACGTTACTGCAAGATTGCTCAGTAAGCTTGCACGGTTAGCTTGCCGCAAGGTTGGTGCAAGGTTGCCAAATAACGTTGCCAATCAGTACAGAAGGTTGGAGCAAACTTGCAGCAAGCTTGCCATGCAAGTTTGCTCGACAACCTTAGCTTGGCTTAAGCTTGCGAAATATAACAAAAAAAATTTGGGAAGGAGGAAATTTATTTTTGTACACATATTAAGCACTAGTTCCTAGGAGGTCAAAAAAATTTACTGCGCAGCCGTAAGTGCTCATGATTGCAAGTGCGCATAGTGCTAATTTTCAATGCAAACTTCTCTACTGATTGGGCAATGTTATTTGTCAACCTTGCACTACCTTGCGACAAGCTTACTGAGCAATCTTGCGACATTCTTACTGTGCAATCTTGAGATAATCTTACTGTGCAATCATGCAGTAACTTTACACTGCAATCTTTCGGCAAGCTTACCATGCAAGCTTGGGTTAGGTGGGACATTTAAAGCTTGCGGCAAGCTTGCCGTGCAAGGTTGGTAATATTGCGTGTCAAGTGTGCCGCAAGGTTGCTGCAAGCGGGTATTATATGTAAAAAATGAATGCAACATTTATATATAATTTTGGTTCTTTTTGATTACTGAAAATGAAATATTTGAAGTTATCTGAATAATAAGAATCCTTTTTATAGTTTTTATTATTCACTGATTTTATTATTATTTTTCATCAGGCTTCGTTATAATTTTGGTTCTTCCAAACTAATGGAATTGTAATTTTTGAAGTTATCTGAATAATAAAAATCCTTTTCATGTCTGATTTCTTAATTGATTCTTGTTTTGCATCAGAGATAGTAAATAGAGGTTGATGTAAGTTTAGTTGGAGTATAATTTGGTGGGCGCAGGTCCAACGTTAGAGCATTATAGTTGGTAATATAGTAATTTGGTTAAATTGAAATATTTATTAAATAATAATGCAAAGAAATAAAATTTTCGACTAAAATTCAATTCGAGATAATGAAAATTCTACAAAATTTTAACGACTTCTTTATTAGATAATAAATAAAAAAAATAAAAATCAAAAATGCATGTCGTCGTATAAAAATTGACATATATAATATTTAATATAATGTTAATATTTTCATCTAAGAAACAAACTTTTTTTTCTTAAAATAACGGTATTAAGAAATGCGACGTTATTAAAAGACTTTGAGAAGTTGGTTGACACGACTTGTGGTAAACAAGAGTTTAGAAGAAGTTTCATTATATAAGTACTGGGACATACGAGGTGGCGAGTAGTCTGACAACTATACTATACGGGATTGGTTTATATAGGAGAGCGTTTTTCCCTTTTCCTGTCTTTTTCTCTTCCGTCACATAGATAAACCGCGACATTCCCCTCAAGTGCAGTTGAGAGAATTTTACTTTGCAGCGTCGTTCATGGAATTAAGGGGAAGTCATCAGCCTAGAATGACATTTTTCTATCCTCCATATAAATAAAAGCCTCGACGATCAACGGACCTTTAGGAGAAGATTCTGTTACATTTTCTGTTTTTTTTCTCCAAGGAATTTGTTTTTCGCAAAATTTTATAGGTAAATAAAAAAAGAGAGGATTTCCGTAAATGAAAAATAGAGAAACTTTTATTAACCCACAACTGGCACTATGGGTCCAGTAGACCCGAACATTTTTCGAGCTTAAATTAATTGAATGTCTAGTCAAATTTAACTTGAAGAATATCTTTTAAAATATTTTATTTATATCCGTTTGACTTTCCTGCAGTAAGAAATTTATTCACAAATAAATGAAAAGAGTTCTATTATAATATTTCCGGAAAATTCGATTAGTATTATTAATCTTTTATATTAAAGTAGATATTAAAAATTTGTTACATTATAAAGGTTCATTAAATTAATGTTAACTAGATGCAATGAAATACTTATAAAATTAGAAATGCGGAAAATAATATTATAAATTCCTAATATTATCCACTTTTATTCCTTTTAATTAATTTAACCGTTGACAGACTTTTTTATATCAATTAGTAAAAACTAAAAATAAAAACTTACTAAAAATAGAGTAATTAGTAGTCAAAAATAATCTGAAAAATTAAAAAAAAAATTCTAATACTTTAATTAATTTTCACATAATTTTTTAATTGCATTCAACTAACAATTATTTACTTTCAACTGAATTCTTATCCGACAAATTATCTTTTGAATCATAAGTGTCTTACTTTGGTTATTAAATTTTATTTTTATTTAATGCAGATTTAGAGGATATCATTTTCATTTATGGCTAATTTTTAAAGGTGTTATTTTTAAAAATTTTGTTAATAAATTAATAAAAATGAATAAAATATTTTAAAATATTTAAAGGAAATTTTTGTTCTTGATAAGAAGAAAGTGAAAAATAATGAAAATAGGTTATAACATGAAAAAAAGCTTGCAATTCTGGTGAATTATTTTTGTTAAAAACAAATTATTAATTAAAAAAAAAAGTAAATTTCTCAATGAAACTTATTGAAATGCTTTTAAAAACTCAAATGTAATTTATATACATATATAAAAAGAGAGTTATTGTTTAACAGACAAGGTCATCAGTCATGCTCTATGAATTAGGAAATTAGATTTTGTTTCATGATATATATCAACAACTATATTTCGAAATTTGTAGTCTTTCATGTTTATCAATTAAAAGATATATTTCAGAT